TTACCTTTTACTTTACGCTTGAGAATAGGGCGTTTCTTTACTGCTCTAGTCTTATGCGCATGTGTAACTTCTATTTCTGAACTAGATGTGGAAAAATTACTTGAATCGCTGTCCGAAGTATCTGAATTGGAAGAAGTATCCGAATTAGAAATGCCCGAATCTTTCGATTTCCCAGGAAGTGATTTGTATAAATCATGAATATCTCTTTTATCGACGGATACTATAACCCTCCCCCCTTTCTTGGCATTAAGATCTTTGATACGCAATGTAGTTCTTACCCAGGCATCTTCTGTGTCGGTCACAATTTCAGGTATGTATATTTGGAGCTCATCATCATCATATTTTCGGCCATAAAACCAATTATTACCAAGTAATATATAATTAGGCATTTTAGGAGTATATTTTTCTATGAGTACTTCGGTTGGTATTGTAATAGATTTTTCGTTATTAAGACGGATATTATCTTTTATATTAGATGTAAATGTAAGTGGGATTATGGCCCATCCAATCGGGTGTGTAGTCATCTCTCTGAAGAATTTAAATATTATTAATTTGCAAGATCAAAATTTTAAACTATACAAATAAATTGTTTTAGATTTAATAAATATATATTCTAAATTTTATAAAAATTAAATTAGTAGTTATAAAAATATTAAGATTCAAAATTTAGTAATTAAATTATTTACTATATAATTTTTATATTAATTTTAATTAAATTTTATATAGTAAAATTTAAGAAATAATAATTGAAAAAAGTTATTATTAGTAAAAATTTTTTTATAAAAGATATATAATAAAAATTTTTATATTTAAATAAATTCTAATATCTAATAACTTAATTAAATAAGATAGAATTAAAATTTTATTTTAAAAAAATAATTTATTAATATTTATTTAATATATTAATCTTTTTATATTAGTTTATACTAATTATTAATTAATATTTAATATTTAATAAATTTATTATATTATTAAAATTAAAAAATTTATAATAATAAATATATATTATATATTAATAATTAATTAATATTTTAATTTTAATATAATTAGCTTTTTTTAATTATATTTTTTTATAATTATTTTTTTTTAAGTTTTTAATTATTAATTATCTATAACTATAAAAATCTTTTTATAACTATATCTTTCTTTAATTATCCAAATTTACTTTTTTAATTAAAATAAAAATATATTTTAAAAAACTTATTAAATATTTATATAATTTATATTATAATAATTAATTAAATATTTAATAATTATAAAAAATTATTTTATTAATAGCTATAAATAAAATAAAATATAATACAAATAATTTTAATTTATAAACTTATAATTTTATTATTTAAATAATATTTAAATCTAAAGTTAATTTATAAAATAGAAAGATTATATTTATAAAGAAATAAATAATATAAAATACAAATAAATTATTAATAAAAATATATATAAATTAAATAAAATTAATTTATATTTCTAAAAAGTAATTAATCATAATTCAATAATTATAAATAAAATAAATAATAATATAAATAAATATAAAAGAAAAATAAATAAAATTATAAAAAAAATATTAATTAAAAATATAATTAAAAATATTAATAATCTAAATTAATAATTATGATATATATAGTAATTATTTATATAAAATTTAATTAATTAAATATATAGATAATTATTTATATATTCAGTATAAAAATAATTTTTAATAAAAATAATATAGAAGTTAATTTATTATATAAATGATACAAAATAAAGATCTAAGATTAAAGAAGATAATCTAATTAAAATTATTATATACTCTTTTACTTAAAGTATAATATTCTTATTATATTTAAATATATAATTTTTCAAAAGATATTTATCTTTTTTATAGTATTTTTCAAGTTTTTCAAAAATTTTTAAGTTATATTATAAAGAAAATAGCTAAGCTATTTAATAAAAAATTGAAATTTATAATAATAAATTCTTTTATCAAGAGTATTTTTATCTCATATTCTTTTTAAATATTATAGATAATAATAATTAATAATAATTGATATCTATTATACTTATTATTTAAATTATATTTCTTTAATAATAATATATAAAATACTAGATATAATTTTATATTTACTAATAATTATAATTTATATATAACAGAAAATATTTTTTAATAATTTCAAAAAGTTTTATAAATTTTGATATGAACTTTTTAATTATTCTTTATTTATTTATAAGATTATCTATATTATAAGTAAAGAGAAAAACTTGATTTTTAAAATTAAATTCTTTATATTTTTTATATTAATTAATATATTTATTTTACTTATCTTATACTTTAAATAATAAATCTTTAATAATTTTTATTATAATATTCTAATATTTTATAAAATCTTATAATATTTTATAATAATAAAATATTAATTAATATATATAATAACTATTTATATTCTAATTTAAAAGATATATAATTAATAGAAATATTCTTATTATTATTATAAATAAATTTAGCTATTATTAAATTTTCATTCTATTTATTTTATTGATATATTATATATATTCAAAGTATCTCTTTTAAAGTTCTATTAGATCTTTCTATTTAACTATCTATTTATAAGTAATATATTATTAATATAATTAACTTAATTCTAAATTATTCAAATAGTAACTTTTAAAATTTGCTTGTAAATTTTACATTTCTATTTAATATAATTATTTAAAATAAGTTATATAATTTGAAAATATTTTTAAAGAATATCTTAATAATATCAGATATAGTTATTATTATAATAATAAATATAAAATATACTTTCTTAAATAGTTTATTAATAAATATAATTATTATATTATATTTAAACTTAATAATAAATATTTAAATAATAAAATCTATTATAATTTATTTTTATTTTTATTCTAGAATAACAAGTAATTAAAGTAATTCAGAAAATTATTAATTACTACTTTTATTATATTGATATAATTCATAATTGATAATATATTATTATCATAATAACATAAAATTTCTTCATTTCTTAATCTTTTCCTAGTTATACAAAATTGCATATTTTTATAATTTTTATTTATTTTATCAATATTCCTATTTTTATATCATATATTACTATATTTATTATCACATTTCTATTTTTAATATTATATCTTATCTATATTTTTATTATTTTGTATTATAATATTCATGTACATAATAGAATAGTATAGTGAAAGATTATTTTTAATTTTTGTAGAACAGTTACACTTGAATAATGATCTCAAACATCTTTCCACATTCTTTGATATCTTTTGATATTTTCTCATATCCTTTCATATCTTTTCACATCTTTTAATATCTTTTCATATCTTTATATATCTTTTCATATCTTTTAATATTCTTTCACGTACTCTGATATTCTTTAATATTCTTTGATATTTTTTAACATATGTAATAATTTTGATTAAATTATCTTTCTTTAGATCTCTTTAGCTTAGATCTTCATTTTGTGCTATCTGTATAACAGATCAGCTTTGTATTATATTTTTAAGAAAATCATTTTCACTCTGGATACACAAATAATCATTATGTATTTAATACATCTAGATTTAGCATATTGTTACTCAGATAA